GGCCGGCCAACCTCCTGCAGCCCCTCCCTCTGGCCGGCCCTGCCCCTGATTGTCCCGCCCCCAATAGGGGTGGGCCAGCCAGCCACCTCCCCAACCCCTCCGCCTGGCCAGCCCCAGCCCAGATAGGCCCCCCAACTCTGATCAGGGGCAGGGCTGGCTGGCCCCTCCCCTAGGCCGCTGGCCCCCAATTGGCACCCCCCACCCCATTCAGGGGTGGGGCCAGCCGGCCCATGGCCCACAGCTCCTCCCCATGACCAGCCCTGCCCCCAATCAGCCCCCAACCCCAATCAGGGCAGGGCCTGCTGGCCAATTGCCTGTGGCCCCTTCCCCCAGCCAGCCCAGCCCTGATGGGGCCCTGATCCGGTGGTCCTGCTGGCCAACCTCCCACCATCTCCTCCTCCTGAAAGGCCCAGCCCCAATGTACCCTGATTGGGGCCCGGCCAGCCGGACCCGACCTGTGCACAAATTCGTGCATTAGGCCTCTAGTTTAAAAATGAGAGGTCAGGGATTGTTTTGTTCACTGCTATGTCTCCAGCACTAGCACAGTGATTTTACACATTGCTGATGTCAAATATTTATTGATTAAAGCTATTTATTGCTTATTGGCATATCTACTTTACAGAGTTGTGGTGATGAAATGAAATAAAAATTGTGAAAGTTCCTAAGCGAGCTCTTAACAAAGATATTATTACAAGGCTGCTTTGTGACAGGCACTATGCCAGGAGCTAGGAATATGAAGATGAATAAGACAGCTCTTGGGAGCTCCAGTCTAGATGAGCTACACAAAGTGTATGTGATGGAGCACAGAGCAGGTCTCCATAAATATTGTGAAGCTCAGAGTAGGTGCTCAGTAAACATTGAATCTCAGTTGTTATTACACTGGACAGCTCGCAAAAACACTTTCATGAACACTTATTTGAAACAACAGATACTATAAGTTTAACAAGAATAAACCAAGGTCTTAGGCATTCGACAGAGGAAGGGATGATCGGTTGGGATGAATAGGCATGACTTCATGGGAAAGACTTTGAGATGCGTTTCAAAATATGGATGGATTTTGACAAGAGTGAAAGATGGAGGGGAGTTTCATAAAATATGGAAATATATAAGCAAAAGCTTGTCCTCAGTAATTCCATATTGCTTTTTTATTTGTGTTCATGAACCATATGTTAATAAATCTCCTCTGAAATACTGTCTCATGAATATTGATATCTACAATCTTTAGAATCACCCATTACCTCCCTAGAAAATCTGTGGAAAATTTTTTCCATCTTTAATTTTCATGCACATGTTTCATGAATTCTAATGATTGGTAGTTACATGACAACATTATTCACAAATGCTTATTGAACCCTTGCTCTGTACCTGGTAGTAAGGGGGCTAAGATGAAGCGTGTATGCAAACAACTGCTCTACAAAACAGAACGCTGTAAGTGCCATAACCGAGTTGCAGCTGAATAGGAAGGCTGAGAGGAGAGGGAATATCTGCATTTTCCCTCCCAGTTTTCTTCCTGTTATTAATTCATCTGACTTGGGAGATTTAGTCCTATAAAAAAGTAACTGTTCTTTTACAATTTCCTCTTTCACATGACTTGTCTGGGTTTGTGTCCTTTCCATCTTGAACTCGTTCTCTGTCCTAAGCTCTAAGGGTGATGAGACCCGACTCTCACCAGGGGAAGCATGGTCAGAGGCAGCTCTCCTGAGCTTACCCCGATTCCCTGATCCTATCTCCAGGTGCCCTTCCTTTGCCTCACTATCTCAAGCTTTAATAAATTTACACTCATAAAAAAACAACAAAAAAGCAGCCCTAGCTGGTTTGGCTCGGTGGATGGAGCGTTGGCCTGCGGACTGAAGGGTCCCGGGTTCAATTCCAATCAAGGGCACATGCTCAGGTTGCGGGCTCGATCACCCCTGGGGGTCATGCAGGAGGCAGCCGATCAATGATTCTCTCTCATCATTGATGTTTCTGTCTATCTCTTCCTCTCCCTTCCTCTCTGAAATCAATAAAAATATATATATTAAAAAAAAAGACTAGCCCGAGGAGGAAGGCCCAGGAAGTTATCAGTCATTGTTAGTGACGCACTAGGCAGTTGTGCCTTGTGCGTGTTAGTTTGTCTAACCCTCAGAATGGCCCTGAAGGATGGAACATCTTATCCGGGAACGTGCTGTGGAAACTCTGATCCTCTAACAGAATGATTTATCCAAGGTCTCAGAGCTCAGCAGAGCTCAAAAGTGGTAGACCTTGGATGTGAACATTGCTAATGTTTGACCTCAAAGCCATGCTCTTTCCACTACAACGTATTAACCAGGATTAAGTGGATTTTAAAGTTCATCTTTCTGGTTTTTGTAAAAGACTTTTAAAAAATCTCAGTTCATCGAAGTTTCTTTTTAAGTCTCCTGGGTTTCAAGTACTCAAGAAGCATTTGCCAATCAGGCCTAGGATTATTATCTGCCTTCGCTATATCCCACAATAATGTATTAATTATTGTGATCACAACTTTATAGACATTTTGAAATTTCTGAAGTTTCCTGTTGTTCTAGTTTGACAATGCCCAGAATTTCCTTTTATCCAAACTTGAACTTCAAGATGACAGAATCTACCACGTTGTTTTATTCATTTTTAAAAAAAATATATTTTTATTGATTTCAGAGAGAAAGGGAGAGGTAGAGATTTAAGAATCAATGATGAGAGAGAATCATTGATCGGCTCCCTCCTGCACACCCCCCTCCTGGGGATCAACCCCGCCACTCGGGCATGAGCCCTTGATCAGAATCCAACCTGGGACCCCCAGTCCGCAGGCCGATGCTCTATCCACTGAGCCAAAGGGCCAGGGCACCACGTTGTTGTTGCTGTTGTTGTTATTTTCAATGGGGGGTGGGGAGTGGGGTGGCGGGAGAAGGAGGAAGTGCAGAAGGGAAGAAAGTGGGTTAAGTAACGGGGGTTGTTTTACTATGTCTTTCTGTCAGACGTTCAGCTATCTTTGTGTTTTTGTGTGTGTGTGTTTTTAAGTTCCAGTTCTTTTTTTTAAAGTATATTTTATTGATTTTTTTTTACAGAGTGGAAGGGAGAGGGATAGAGAGTTAGAAACATGGTTGAGAGAGAAACATCGATCAGCTGCCTCCTGCACACTACTCCCTACTGGGGATGTGCCCGCAACCAAGGTACATGCCCTTGACTGGAATCGAACCTGGGACCCTTCAGTCCGCAGGCCGATGCTCTAATCCACTGAGCCAAACCGGTTAGTAGAGCCATCTTTGTGTTTTTGCGTGACAACGCCAGACTCTCGCCAGACTCTTAGCCAAGGAGCAAGGCGGTGGTGGGTGGGTGGGAAGAATATGCGTAAT